CATTTTAACAAAGATTGACATGCTTGATTGTCGTTCTAGTGATACACCTATGAATCCCAATGTGAAGCTTCTTCCAAGTTAGTGGGAGTCATTGAAAGACTTTAGAAGATATCATCATTTGGTAATAGATTTAATTACCTCACTATCACTAGATAAAACATCTCATTTGTTTTCAATGTTGTTAGTTAGTTCTTAAACGTCCCTTATGATAGACGTCATTGGGATGTGGTGATCTGCATTCTTAGATGCATTAAGAATGCACCAGGTTGGAGATTATTTTATGAGGACCAGAGGCAATGTCAAGATTGTCTGCTACTCTGATATTGATTAAACAGGAGCACCATCAAAGAAGAGGTCTACCTCTAAATATTGTGTTCTTATTAGGGGAACTTGATCTCATGGAAAAGCAAGAAGAAAAAAATTATTGCTAGATCTAATGATGAAGTTGAGTATCGTGTTATGGCAACAACTACATACAAGATAACATGGCTTGGGGAACAACTAAAATTTGGAGACATTTAGGATACTAGACTAATATGTGACAATAACCCCACTCTCCATATTGTGTCAAACTCGGTCTTCAATGAACGAACTAAACACATAAAGATTGATTGTCATTTTGTGTGAGAGGAGGTCCTTTCAGATGAATTCATCACTAACTTTGACAGATTTAGTGGCTAATTGGAAAATATATTCACCAAACCCCTAAAAGGCTTCTGAGTTGATGACAAGAAATGTTATATATAATGACATACAAAAAGTATCATTATAGATATAATATCTGTAGATATAAATCTATTTGGCATATACTCATATATAATTTTAGTGTTGATTTTGAATGAAATTGAACAACATATATTGTGTGTCATTATAACTTATATATACATTTTTTAACAATATACCAACATATATTGTATCTATAGGCAAAAGTGATTTTTAGTGACAAATATTATGTAACTATAAGGTATATGTCATTTCAAGACAATTTATTTATAATAATATTAAGAAGGTTAGTTTTTTGCATTAAATTTTATTAATCCCATAATATTTTTTCCTAATTGTCCTTCTTATAAATACAAAAAAAAAAAGAAAAAAGATAGTGTAATTGAAAGACCGTACATTAAAGAAAATGATATTTTAGAGATTATATCATTAAATGACACAAAAATAATCAAGGTTTGCTTATATTTAAGAATAAAAATTATGCATTCTTTGTTGCTTATAATAGAGAACAAATGAATAATATTTTTTTGTGGAGTAGAAAATTATTGATTATATTGATAGGCTTAATTATATATATTTTTTTACTTATCTATTTATCTTTTATAAAAAAGAAATTATTACTTAATTTTTAAAATTTTGTACACTTCTTTTGTTAATTGACCATCTATTGTCATTAATTGATAATTGATATGACATATTAATTGTTGATAAGACATATTGATTATTACCATATCACATTATGTTATATGATCATATATATGTCACATTAATAATCAACATCATTGGTCAGTTAAAAAAATGATAAAATGTACAAAAATTTATAAATTATAATAAAATATGTAATTTTAAAAATTGAGTAATAAAATTTATAAAAATATAAAAGATAAGTGATAAAAAAATTTCACTATTATATACAATAATATAGATTTAAATGTTTTTCCTTAGCATAGTATATACTCTCAATTCTTTATTAAAAGAAAAAAAATAGACACATTTCTTTTACTGTTTTTATATATGAGTAAATTTTAATTATTTTTATTTTATTTATAATAATCTCTAAAATATCTCTCTTTAATACATAATTTTCGGTTCTATTACTATTGTTTAATAATTTAAAAAATATATTATAAAATTAATAAAATTTAATATAAAATTATTTTGTGTAAAATTAATTTTTTTTTATAATAAATAACATAGGAAGTACCTATTTATTATCTAACCTAAGATAGGATATCGACGATTCTTATTTGATATTGATTTGGGTAAGAACACAAGTCTATCAACCGACTGTTCTAAAACTCCTAAAATTTATTAAGAGGGATATTGTAGAATTTATCTTCTAATATAATGTATAAAATTTAATTGAGAAAATCGGTGGTGACTCCCACTAATTTAATTAAGCACCGACAAAGAATTGATATACTTAATTTGAGGGATCGAATAACTAATTCAATGAAAACATCATTTAATGCACGCATGTTATATGAACTATATAATATAATTAAAAATAATTAAACTCGCCCATAAGTATGACTTATGTTCAGTAATATATGTTAAAAAAAAACACATCACTTGTAGAAGTAGAAATATGTCTTAACGACTTAAAAAAAATTTACATCTTGGTAATATTAAAAGAGTGAGCACTATTACCTGGACACTTTAGTTTAATTTTCTCTCGCATTAAATCTTCTTTTTCGAAAAAGATTCTTAAAGTACGGTGATTTGTCGTGGAGATGTGCATACATTTATTACCGGATTAAAAAGTTTCAGAAAAAGTTGCATAGTGCCGGAGCTCCCAGCAGCAGATCTATAGTAGAAAATAAATAAGGCAAAAACCCTATTTTAGTTCTTTATATTAATTATGTTTAAATTTAGTCTTATTTTTATTTTTGATTTTAATTTGGTTCCAAATTAATTAATTAATTTATTTTATTAGATATAATAACATAATTAAAATATAATTAATAATATATATTTTATAAAATTATTAACATTTTATATATAAAAAGGATAAAACCGGAACGGCCCGTTCTGAAACCGGAACAGCCCGTTCTGCTGCACTGGTGGTGTGTTAATTTTTGCATCTGGAACGGCCCGTTTCAGTTGCAAAATTAACACACCAAAAGTGCAACCAGAACGGCCCGTTCTGGTTCAGAACGGACCGTTCTGGGTCCAGGTATTTTCAAAAAAATTATCATCCACGTGACATCCACGTATGCATCTACGTGACATCCATGTGACCAAAAGTTAACTCCGTTTAAATAATTTGGACGGAAGTCCCACATTGAAACCAATTAATTAATTTATTACTAAATTGAAACCAATTAATTAGTTTGGGACCAAATTGAAACCAAAAATAAAAGTGAGACTAAATTGAAACAAACAATTAATATAAGAGACCAAAATAGGGTTTTAGCAAATAAATAATTATGATATCAATCTAACAACTGAATGCGAATACATTTAATATAACATTTATTTCACATAGAAAACATAAAATAATCGATTTTATTACGATTTTCATACAATAAATTTTGGATATTTATCCAATAAATATTCATATAAGGTGTAAAAAATATATAATAATTTTTACCAATATAACTAAAAAATATAAATTTTTTCATGGGATTACATATAACTCTTGTACATATATATACAATATATATTGTACATATATACAATATACATCAAATATATACTAGTGTGTACAAAATAACTATATTGTTGATCAAATGTCTCTATACAACAATATTATATAAGAGAATCTTAGAATAATGGATTTAAGCCTAATTCAACTCCACAAAATCGGCTTGTAAGGTGAGGGTTATTTTCTACTTATATACTGAGTAATTGCCTAATCTCTACACCCTCCTCACGTCCAGCACTATTGGGCTTGGTATGTAACTTATAGGTAAGGGTTATTTTCTACTTATATACTGAGTAATTGCCTAATCTCTACACCCTCCTCACGTCCAACACTATTGGGCTTGATATGTAACTTATATACTATTTAATTGGCTAATCTCTAGACCCTCCTCACGTCCAGGCTTGATACGTGGATAAATGGTAGGTGACCCTTTTTTAAGAATCAAGGATAGCTCTGATACCATCTTAGAATAGTGGATTTAAGCTTAACTCAACCCCACAAAACCGGCTTGTAAGGTGAAGGTTGTTTTCCACTTATATACTATTTAATTGTCTAATCTCTAGTCGATGGTTGACTTGAGTTTTTCCTAATAGAGAAATATACTCAAAAGTCATTAAATTCCTGCAAAGTTTTTTCAAATTCACCAATCTTTTTTGTGCTAATTTTTTTTTTAATGAAATCTCAAACCAATACATCTCCTTACTTTTATAAAGAAAAAAATAACTTTCAAAAATTAAAATCAATTTGAAATGAATAGATCATATTGACACAACACAATTTAACCATTTATAATTGTGTTAATTTGATTTGAAATTTTTATCTTCACAAATTTAACTTAATTCAACTCTTAAAATTTTGATAATAACAAGTTTAATAAAATCCAGTCCATACCGACAGATGAATACTCCAATAAGAGGCCCTTTTGTTCTTTGCCACTCATTTACAAATTCTGCATTACTTTCTTCCTGGGCCCAAATTTATCCGTATACCAAATTCAATTAATTACTTATATCCAAACCATTCCACAAGTCAAGAGACTACCGAAGGCTTTTTGACCCCAATAAATAAAAAAAAATAAAAAATACACGAAATAAATTAAAAAAAAAACAATTTACCAAAGTAGGTGATTTTTGACAGCGTGGCACCACGTGGATCAGAAAACGCAGGGGGGAGGGCGTTTTTCAGAAAAAGCCTCCCCCCATGCGCCTTGTATGGCTGACGTGGCACCTGGCACACGTGGAGAAGAAAGAGCAGGGAGGGAGGCATTTTTCAGAAGGAGCCTCCCCCCAGGCGCCATCTGTTACACGTGGCAGGTTGGAAAAGAAAGAGCAGGGGGGGTAGGCGTTTTGTAGATGGAGCCTCCCCCCCAGGCGCCACCCGTTCAGTGTCTGACACGTGGCACACCCTCCCCGATTTTGTGTTAAGAGGTGAGTCCGGGACGAGAGGCTCAAATTTATTTTTTTGAGAAAACGCTTGTACTCCCGGCGCTCTGAGAAAACGTTTGTGTTCTAAAAAATTTTATTGCACCACAAAATTATTTTCGCACGTTCTTATCCAGGTATGAGTTGTAGTTTATTTATTTAAATTTAGAATTAAATATTAAAATTAAAAATGTAATGGGTTGATTCGTTTATGGTTTCTGGGTGTGGAACGGGCCGTTCTGAAGACAGAACGGGCCGTTCTGAATGAATTTGCGTTAATGAAAAATTGAAGGGATCAGAATGACCCGTTTTGCTTTCGGAACGGGCCGTTCCAGAACCCAATTTAAGACACGTTTTGTGCAATGAGAACGGCCCGTTCTGGTTTCAGAACGGGCCGTTCTGGTTTCAGAACGGGCCGTTCTGATTGCACTGATGAAGGATTTCAATTGAAATTTTTTAATTATTATGAGGGATTCAATTAGGCATTTAGGCATTTCTAAAATTTATAAGTAATTAGTTGTTTGAGTTTAATATTTATTTTGTTTGTTTGTTTAATTATATCAGGATGTCTACACAGATGATTCATGCAGGACCTATCGACGATTCGTTATTAAGGCTTCAACCATTCCATATATCTGAGCATATGGAATGGAGCTAAAGATAGGGTTTTGAAGGTTAGGAGAGCAACACAACTAGAGTTGCGTGGTGTTGAGATTCCAACTGCTATTCAGGATCTTCTACAGAGGGCTGATTTTAATTTGTTAAACAATATTAGTTACAAAATAAATTATATTTGACTAACACTACTCACCCGTTGTACATTATTTTTAGTTATATTAAGGAAGTAAGGACCACGGAAACGGTTGGGGGCAAACACGACAACCTGAAGAAAAAAAAAACAAATTCAATTCAACACATAAATAACATATAATTTAATATTATACAACAAATATTACCTGTTTCAGAACTAACACACATCCCACAACAATGTCTTTCCCATATTGTTGGTGTTGCTTAACTTTGTAATGTAAGCTTGCACCAATCGTTGCAGTTGGGTCCTGAAATAAATATTTACAATTAATTACAAAACAATTTCTTTTAATGTATAAAAAATTTACTAACCATACCTTTAAATTAATAGTATAATTTTCCTTTCCAGTTGGGGTCATAGACTCCACAAAAGCAACAACTGTTGGAACTCTTTCTAAATTGTGGTTGATATTAATCACTATTGTCACTTCTGGTAGATCTATAGTTAATAAAACAAAAAAAAATTTAACATTATTTACATCATTAATTTTACACACATGAAACTTAATATGCTAAACAAACCTCTAGATTTGACATAATGAACAGCATAGCGCCACGGGTTAGAGTTGAACACCAACATCGCAGGTCCGTTAAGATCAGACAAGAACTGTTGTGTTGACAAGGGATTTTCAGATTCCCTGTTCCTCATGGTAGCTTGGACCAAACCAGCTGGTCCAGGAATAAGACGGCCAATGTCACGTGCACTAGATGTCTCTTCGTCATTGTCATCCCCAAGTTTTGGTGTAGGGGGTGACAATGGAGACAATGGCTCCTGTTCTCTAGCTTCTTCAGCCTGTTTAGCTTCCATAACACTTTTCATTATTGATAATAATTGCTCATCTGTCAATACTTTCTCTGATGGAACAATGTTTTCTTCTTCGTCACTATCAGCGCGCAGGTACATAATCTATTCCTCTACGAGACATTCCTGATAAAATATAAAACAAAATAAATATTCCATTAATATTGTTTCAAATTCTAAAATTTAAAATATTCAGTATAATATCATAATTTTTAACATTGCAATAAATACATATATTCAATTATAAAAATCAAATTATATAACTTTTTCAATTAAAATATAAATTTTATATGGCGCACTGGAACGGCCCGTTCTGATTTCAGAACGGGCCGTTCTCATTGCAACAGTGGTGTGTTATCTATGGATCTAGAACGGGCCGTTCTGAAATCAGAACGGCCCGTTCTCATAGCGCTCATAAGATGTTCATTTTAGTTCCGGAACGGCCCGTTCTCGTTTTAGAACAGGCCGTTCCAGAACAAAAACTAACAAATCTTCAGTACAATAAGAACGGGCCGTTCTGCTTTCAGAACGCCCCGTTCGTATTGTACATAAACTTCCTTACTTTACCATCCGGAACGGCCCGTTCTGAATACGTACGTTTTCAGAACGGTCCGTTCCATGTTTAAAACTTACGTATTGACCTTTCTATTTAAAAAAAAAAAATAAATTATTACACTACTCTATTTTATCTTTGAATCACCATACAATATATTATAAAAATTAAAATTTAAAATTACAACAAATAAAATATGTTACTCACTTGCACTACCCTGAACCACCAAATAAAATATGATAGCACCTAGACCACACCAGAGGAAGTGAATTTTGTGAAACCCAACAACATGTTCTACATTTAACTATTAAAAGGGAGTGTTTGAATTTGATAGGGCCTGGGGCTGGGGCGCCACTTATTATGGTGTGTACAACGCGCCTGGGGGAGAGGCGCATTGCCACGTGTTAGCACGTAAACAGATGGATCCTGGGGGGAAGGCTCCTGCTTGAAAACGCCTCCTCCCTGCTCTTTCTTTCTCCGCGAACCACGTGTCACCACGTAACAAACAGATGGCGCCTGGGGGAGGCTCCTTCTAAAAAACGCCTCCCCCCCTCTCTTTCTTCTCCACGTGTGCTGGGTGCCACGTCAGTCATACAAGGCGCATGGGGGGAGGCTTTTTCTGAAAAACACCCTCCCCTGCATTTTCTGATCCATGTGACGCCACGCTGTCAAAAATCACTTACTTTGATAAATTGTTTTTTTTTAAATTTATTTCATGTATTTTTTATTTTTTTTATTTATTGGGGTCAAAAAGCCGACTACCAAATCTCAAGGACTTCATTTTTCTCTTCTAAAAACATTTCATTGTCTAAGCAAGCAGATCTCGTGAATCTACAATTTTTTCAGCAGAAAAAATATGCTAAGAATTGGTCCATCTGCTATTCTCAGTCATTTCATCATTGAAATAACTTTGGAAGCAAATGGTTGCGGGGTCTCTAATGTTGTGGTAAAGGATATTTTCCACTCTCCAAAAAATGTTGTTGCTAACTGGCTATTCACCTAAACCATTACATTAGTATCACTTCTGACCTTCTAAAAAAAAATCAGAAAATTGCAATAATTCTTGTTTAAGGCAGCATTCGAACCCAACAATTTAAAATGTTTGAAAGCTTAAACATGTTTAAAAAATATATAAGTGATTTAAATAATTTTAATTTGAAATTGAATATACAAGATCTTAAGTTCGAATCTTAGTACTGTGAATATAATAATGAGGAATCAAATTTTTATTAATATATTTTAAGATTTTAAATAAAATCTTAACTTTTATTATTTGGTTTATACAGAAAGCTGAAAGATTTTAAAAACTAATTTATAATTTATCTTTATATTCTTTTAGTTATAAATTTAAAAATATCCTAATAATATTTTAAACATTGTATTAAAAATGTTTAAATTTATTTCACTTCCCTCTAAATTTCAGTAATATTATCAACCTCAAGCGTGTGATTCAGCGGTAGGGGTTGATCCATGCTTAAGCAAGGTCAGGGGTTCGAATCCTGCCTTGTGTATGCAACCGCGTTAAATTTTGGGGTCAGCTATCCTACCCTTTGAGGTGCCTCCCTCGTAACGAGGATCAGGGATAAAATTAGATGAAAGCCTTCCTTCCTTTCCCTTCCAACAACAAATTGTTATAATTTTTTTCCCCATTTTTCATATTTCTCCGACCAGATATTATGCTAGTGAGAGAAATAGATAAAAGGTCACCTTTATCAAGTTTTCTTGTTCTGACACATTTTTTTTACATTTATAAATTTGAAATCAAAAACGTTAAAAGAATTGAGTCTACTTTCTCTCAAATCAAAGAATTATTAGTAGATAAAAGTGTAAGTATCCTAGAAAATATAATAAAAAATATTAAATAATAGGTATTAACTAAGCATACTTAGAGTAAAATGTTAATCACGAATCATTACTATTAGATATTTCAAAAGCTTGTGTCTATAAGTTACTATTCGTCATTTTTATCACATTATTTCTTTTATGCGTATCTCTCTCTTTTTTCTTTTGGTAAAGTTATGCGTATCTCTCTTTGTTCCACGTTTACATTCAAATTCACATTTATACTCAAAAATAAAAAAACATATGAATATCATTTATATAACACTTACGGTTGCAGTAAAATAAAATAATTAAAAAAAACGCTTACGGGTAAGATAAAACTATATCTATCATAAATGTTAACCCAAGAATTATATAGAGGGTAAGGCTTGAAGAAAGTAAAATCAACAAACGATTTTTAATTTCTTTATTTAGTAAAGATCTACCCTTCAAGTATAATTAAGACTGACAAAACAAAATGCAGTGGTATACAAATTTCTTTCTAGGTGGGAAAAATGATAAGCATAACTCTAGTAAAAATTAAAATATCAGTTTGATCCTTTAAATATGAGAACTCAAGATTGATTTGTTTTAAAAAAAGTTTAGGCGGTTGAATCTTAATAAGGACACACGAGAATTAACGTACGCTATTCAATATCTATACACAAGAGGATTTGGAAGAGGGCATAACAATTCCTTTGGACTAAATGGTTTGAAAACAAATTTAAAGATTTGAGTATTAGGTTTAGTGTTTAGTAATAACAAACAAATTGAACGTTAACTTTCTATAAAACCACACAATTAATCTCCAAAAAATTAATAAATAAAAATGAAGATACAATTTGACGAAACTTTTACAGTTGACTACTGTCTACTAGAATCTGACTGGTAGATGCACGCACGCCGAAGCAGTAGTTGTAACTTGTTGGTATAAATAAAAGTAGTTCCAACCGTTTCAAAACCTTAGCAGCTGCAGTGCAACAAAAAATCCATAGGTTGTTGAAGCATTTAGATTTAGATTTCAGGTAACAATTTGGTGCCTTTCTATATATACATTTCTTCTTCGGTTCTTGTACTAGATTGGGTTATTTGTGCATGTGTGATTTTCCCCACAATAAATGATATAACCTATGAATGTTGTGTCTTGCATTAATGTAATGTAATTGTTAGAATTAATTGCTTCTTCATTTAGTATTTTCTTCTTATCTAATACTCTCATGGGCATAGCAGTATATGTTGTTATATTTTGGCAATTTTGCTTCAGATATTGTTCTCATGAAATGAGGTGAGTTGGAGATGGCAGAGTTTCCGGGATATTTTCGTTACTGCTTGAACACAGGGAAACTCGTCCTTTTGGCAATTTTGGTCTCTGGAGGAGTCGTCTTGCAAATTTTGGTCAGTATTTTTTTTTCCTCTTCTTAGTGGTGGTATGTGTAAATATGTGATGTCACAGGAGAAATCTGCATGTTGGGTGGCACAATGGAAGCAATCTGAGACAGGACGTGTTCAATTCCTGAATAAACCTTGTAGAAGCTAGAAGAACCACACCATTTCACTTCAAAAGGGAATTAAGATAGCATAAAGGAGAAATTATTATATGCTCCGAAATTACCAACTAATCTTTACTATGTAGTCGACTTTTATCAAATTTTTTTTATCGTAAATTGAAAATTTTGACTACTTATTACACAAAAATTGATTGAGATTGTGGACGGGTAGTGGTCTTAGACCACACAATAATTTCTCCAAAGAGAGGGTTGTGCATGGGCACTCTAATTCCCTTTTAACATATAATGTGACAAGTAATTGGCAAAAAATATTAACTGTTTACTTACTTAGATCTGTTCTACATGGCAGGCATGTGCATTGTATAATAATTGGTGGCCAATGCTAACTGGTGAGATAATCATCATTGAATTCGATTCTTCAGCATGCTATTAAATTGTTTATTTTTCATTTATGGGATTGTTACATGGCAAGAAAATCTTGTAAGTTATTTCATCTTTTTTTTAATCCTTTTGCAGCGATAACATATGTGCTTCTTCCAATGCCTTTGCTCTTCTTTGCTGGATCTGAACGTTCCTCTTTATTTTCTGAATCAGATAGCAGGTAAATCTTTAAATTTTGTGTGTTCGAATTCTCCTAGTCCAAGCTGGGGAATTGAATCATTCAATTTTTATTGTATTTTGTCTTTAATTTTGTGGTTTGATGAATGATGGAGCAGCTGGGTGAATGCAACCAAGTTCTTAACTGGGGCCTCAGCTGTCGGAAGCATTGCCATTCCAACCATATTAAAGCATTCTGGTGTTATAGGTTGGGGAGCTCTGGCCATGGAACTCTCTTCCTTCTTTGTGTTTGTATTTGCCATAATGTGCTACATACGGATGAATGATGAAGATGATTATAGTACTCTTTGAGATGGGAGCATAAGGGGGTTTTCTTCATCAGTAAAGTTGTATTTATTACCTTTGATTATAGTATACCTATAAGATGATTTAATGTTAGTTGATGATTGAGGCGTCTTCTGGTTGTGTTTGAGTTTTGATTTTCTACTATAATTTGCATCCTTTCCCTCCTAGACTCTGTTGCGCCTTCTTCCTTCACTCATGGATATGTTATGTAGAGGACTCAGAAAGGTGGGGTTCCTGCTGTGATTAAAATCTTGTACTAAATGGCACCAAACAAATAATGTTGAAAAGAGGCTATGAGACAAGATAATAATTAGAAATTATTGAAGTAGGTTAAAAAAAGTTCACGAGTAAATGGTTTTACCAATGTTAAAGACTGGGACAAACAAATTGACAATTGATTACCCACCATGAGAACACAAACGACTCTGACCCCGAATTTACGTGGCAACAACAAATTAAGAGAAAGAACATGCGGCACGCAACAGAATTTTGGTAAGAAAATACTCAAACTGTCGTGTTGCTTATGGATTTCACAATAGTAACACTTATGAGCTACAGAAAAGTCCACAACATGATCAACTTGTGAATTCAAACTTTTATTTTGTCGGCTTTAAGCTTACTTCTATGGTCTACATATAATGGAAGGAAGCGTTGTGTATCTTTATCTTTCAAAATTGGCGGCTCAATAACGCTTTGCAAGCTCCACTTCAAATCTTTGTTATCCCTATAGTTTTTATTACTTTTTTCTAATGGAGATGGTTCAAGAGCAGCAGCTACAAAATACAGGTTAGTTTCTCAATCATACTCGCTTCTTAAAAAGTAATTATTGCATTTCTTGAAAGGGAGAGGGAGGGCTGGAACCTACTTGGTTATTCTTGAAACAGAAACAGACACAAAACTAAGATAATTCTATATGATAATTCAAAATCCTCGTCCTTTTATCTCATGCATAAGAATCACTACCATGTGTAAACGGATTTAAGGTACCCCGTGTACCTTGTTAATATATCTTATCTTTGCTGTTCAAAAAAAAAAAAAAAATCATAAGAATCACTATGTTCCTCTCACTAGGATTTTATACTATGCTAGCTATTATTGCAAACGGGGTGGATGATGAGCCTCTCTTTGTTTGGTCAATTCCTCATGGGAAATGTACTTATAATTGGCAAATAATATGGTCATGTCCCATTTCAATATATAGAAGATGAAACTTGGAAAAAGTTAGAGATTGTTTGAACTCCCCATGCCTTCAGTTTTATGTACATTTTCACCGCAAAAAATTTAATGGCATGAACAGAGATATAAGGATTCAATTACGCAAAATTATAAGATTTAGTGTAAGGATTTCTAGTAACCTCTTATGTGAAAAAAACTGTCTCCAGAGTCAAGGTACTTTAATAGCATATGGAAGCTATAACTATTAGCTTCTTAGTAAATGTGAAAAACCACGTCAGGCATGTCGAGTCAAACACACTATAAACTAGTTTTTAGTTCTAATTATGTAAGATAGAAGTCATTGAACTAATCTGAGTTTAATGTTTTTCTCAGATGACAGAAAAGAACACAACTCAGACAGAAACACAATTGTCAAACAGCAACTTCAAGGTCCACGATTCAGGAAATACAAACGGTGGTTGCGTATGTCCGTCTACATAATCTTTTTTCTGGCAGGCCAATCTGCAGCTACTCTTTTGGGAGGGTTATACTATGACAAGGGTGGAAATAGCAAATGGATGGCAACATTTGTTCAATCAGCTGGATTCCCTGTAATTATTCCACTCCGTTTTTACTTCTCAACACAAACACATGCCAAATTTAATAACAATAATCTCAGCAATGATTCCTACAAAATCAAACCAAAATTTTCCACCCTTGTTTTCCTCTACCTAGCTTTTGGCCTACTTCTCACAGGGGACAACTTGATGTACTCGTATGGACTACTATATCTCCCTCTTTCCACCTATTCTCTACTATGTGCAACCCAATTAGGCTTCAATGCATTATTCTCTTTCTACTTAAATTCCCAGAAGTTTACAGCATTCATATTCAATTCTGTAGTCCTTCTCACCATATCAGCCTCCCTGCTTGCAATCAATTCAGATTCTGAGGACCAAAGGGGTCTTTCCAGAGAGAAACACATCATTGGATTCTTCTGCACCATTGGTGCATCAGCCACATTTTCCTTATTCCTCTCTCTTGTGCAGCTTTCTTTTGAGAAGGTTATAAAGAGAGAAACTTTTTCTGCTGTGTTGGACATGCAACTGTACCCTTCATTCATTGCTACATGTGCTTCTGTTGTGGGATTGTTTGCAAGTGGAGAGTGGAAAAGTTTGGACAAGGAGATGAAGGGATATGAGAAGGGAAGGGTGTCATACATAATGACTCTACTTTGGATTGCTGTGACATGGCAAATATCTTCCATTGGAATGTTAGGGTTGATTTTTGAGGTGTCTTCATTGTTTTCGAATGTGATAAGTACCTTGGCATTGCCCATTGTTCCCATCCTTGCAGTTGTGTTCTTCCATGACAAGATCAATGGGGTGAAGCTTATAGCATTGTTGTTAGCAGTGTGGGGGTTTCTGTCTTATGTGTATCAACATTATCTAGATGACAAAAAAGTCAAGGCAGATAAAAGTGATGGCATTGAGGGCCCAAAAGGTGAGGTAGAAATTTGTTGATGGGATGGACCAAATTTTGATGGTGTTATAGCAATATCTTTGAAAAATTGAGTTGATGAGACCGTGGGGAAGGGTGAATGGGTGATGTTGCTGTTGCAATTTTATGAATTGTATCTTTCTTGATATTTGAGGTTTATATATATATTCTATCAAATACCTACTATTTTTCTTTCAAAAATGATCTATAGGAACAGCAAATGTTATTCAACATCCGGTACTAGAAAGAGAGAACAAAAAATGTTAATGGGGGTGTTCAAAAAATATGAATGTTTTATTTATTTATTTTTTTCTCTTTCTTTTCATCATCATCTCATGATGAACTTTGACCTTTTTTTTTTTTTCTTTTGTTTTTAGATTGTCCTTATTTTTGCCTAAAACACCCTTTTGTGGTGTTTTAGCGGACTTTTGTTTTTGTTCATTTCTGTAACCCTAACTTTTGCCTAGGTCACCCTTTTGTGGGATTCCTAGCGGGTCTTTTGCTCTTATTTTTGCGCAGTCCCCCTTTTTGAGTTTCCTGCCGAGCTTCTTTTATTTTGAAAGATTTCTTTTTACCCATGATGGCACCCTTTTTTTTTTTTTTTTTTTTTTTACTATTTATGGGTGTTTTTTTTAAGTAAACAATAGAAATTTTTTATAAAAAAATTCTAAAGATGATTTAGTCGTGTTTTTTTTTTTTAAGTAAAACACTGAAATTCGTGTTTCACAAACCTAATTTGCACTTTTTATATATAAAAAAATTGAAGTCAGGTTTTTTAAAATGATTTATTTTATTTTTATTTTTATTTTACGTAAAAATATTATTTTATGTAAAAAAGAGAAAAAAGTTAAGCAAAGACCAGTAATGTAAAACACAACTTTGTTATATTATTGATATATATATATATATATAAAAGAAAATTGTGCATATAAAAAAAGACTTTTATATACAGTGTGTTTGTATTTACGTTTCAGACGTGAAAATCCACGTTTAACGTGGAAGCTAATATTATTAGCTTCCACGTTAAACGTGGATTTTCACGTCCGAAACGTGAATACAAACACACCAATAAACAGAAGTAAAAATCACGTTTGAAAACACTTCAAATGAAAGTCGTGTTCAAACACTACTTACTCATTCTATTTTTTTTTAAACCTACTTATTTTCAAAACTTTTTGAAAAAAAAAAATTAACTCTTTAAAATAAAAAAAAAGCCTCACATTTTTTTGGACATGAAGCTAAATTTCGTTGGTAAACCTTTATTAATTTTCAGTTCAACAAATAAATTCTTTAAGCTAAACTGGACGTTATTGAATTTCAGCTCACTATTAAATATATATATATAGCGGTGTCTAGTCTAAATATTTTTAACATGACATTCTCTCTTTATCCAATAATTTTTTTTTTGTGTAATTTCCTATTTATTATTTTAAGGATAAAATAAGTCTCACATTTTTTTTTCTCTTTTTCATTCTCTATGTATTGAATAGAGTTTGTCCACCAAACTTTTCTCATATTCTAGCACAACTTGATTGTTTTCTCTTTCTTTTAGGCAAACATACTTTTAGGCCTTTTTATTTAAGTCAAAACTAATAACATTATTTTAGCCACGCGATCAAGTCGCACTGTTCTACTGTTTTTCTTTAATTTACATATAAGGATCATGAGTGTTGCATTGTTCTGATATTTTTGCTTAATTTACAGTCTACTAAATTAGCAAAAGTAAAAGAAATAAAACAGAAGGGAAAGGGATTCTTATTTGAAATGGAATAACAAGAATTTTTATATAACTAATTCAAGAATGTTTTGAGCTGAATTTGGTTGAAATTTATAAATTATTAAGAGTCAACATCTACAATAGTAAAAAAGGAAATAATAAATACTTTAAGTTCATTCTTTTTTTATATTTTAAAGAAATCAAAACGAATTTATATTGAACATTTTTTAATTGACACATGAATCAGTTTTCCGGTTATTTGATTGAAAATTTTGAGGTCAGTTCTACATATTATTTAGACTGGACACCATACTGGTTCGTTGATTTTTCAGTCCGTTTGGTCGATCCAATTTTCGAACACTTGATAAAAACAAAATTTTATGTAAAATTATTAATTATGTAATAGTTAGTGTAATTTATAATCAAGTAATTTGATCTCTTCTTATACGTATGCATACATATATATATATAATTTCTATTTGTAAAAATATTTACTTTATATGAGTGACTCATGATTTTATTGTTTAACTTTTATAAAAAATAAAAAAAAAATGCTCAATCATGCTTATTTATTGATTTATTTTAATAAACATATTTATTTATTAGTTTAAATATCAAATATGTATTAATAAATTGTTAGTTTAAATAGTTAGTTTAAGTCATATTAGGTCTTTTTAAACAAGATTTCGAATTCATGTGATTAAAAAATAAGATTTCACTAAAATTAACAAATGAGATTTTTTAACAAAAATTAGTTATCAATAAAATTAATAAGTACTGCATAATAGATAAATATAGATAATAGATTTGATAAGTTATTATATTTCTTAATTATTAGGAATTAGCTGTTATCTTATTTTTTCCTATTTTCTAGGAATCAATTTTGTATCTCAGGCTTTGCTGTGCTTATTTATACACTTGTAATTGATGTTAATAAGATGCAAAACCCTTTTAACTTGCCTATTATTTCGTTATTTTCTGATAATGGTGGTGAACGTATAAAATTGAAGTCATTCCTTTCAACACATGGAATCTCTCAAGAACATGGGAGTGCGGAGGAAGTGGCATGGTGACCAGGGCAGGGAGGCGTACGAGGAGGGTCTTGCTAGCTTCTTCTTCACAAGGTTTCCGATCGGGTTCAAGGAAGTGGAACTGTGGAAAATTTTCCAAAAATATGGAAGCGTTAAAGAGGTTTTCGTAGCCCAACGGAAGAACAAATGGGGAAGGGAATATGGCTTCGTGAGGTTTGCGGGTGTCACGGATGCCATGGCGTTGGCAGATCAGCTGGATAAGATCGTCATAGGCAATAATAAAATGCATGTCAATATACCCAAATACCGGCGGGGAATGGAGAAGAACAGAGCATAAGGCTAAGACTGAAAGAAATGGAGGTAAGCAAAGACACTACAAACCAAACTTCGTGAGCAACGGGAAGACATATGCACAAGTGTTAAAACAAAATGGTGGGAGGAACCAAGTATGGAAGGAAGTCAGAGATGGAGGCGTGGAAAAGGACGACGAACAGTGGAAGGGGTACGATGTCAAAGTAGAAGAGAAAAATAACGTGTGGCTAGAAAGTAGTTGGGTGGGGAGGATGCTCGACCTGTCCCTATTTGACAAGATACAAGAGACGGTTGTTCCATATGAGTCACGAGATATAAAGTTAAGGTATTTAGGGGATGACTTGGTACTTATAACAGGCTTAGATGAAGAAACGATTAAGGAGAGGTTACATGAAGAAGATGGTTGCCTATCTATGTTGCACTCTATTCAAAAGTGGAGCCCGGATGTAGCTGTAGGAAATAGAATGGTCTGGGTTCGTTGCTATGGAGTTCCACTCCAAACATGGGGAGTGGAGGTTTTTTCAAAGATTGTGAGTATACATGGGTCCTTTATTAAATTGGATGATGACACAAGCAACTTCCATAGGCTGGACTATGCTCGGATCCTTATTCAATCATCAGACTCAAAGCCAATCCATTTTAGCGACACTATGCGTGTAAATGGGCATATACGTCGTGTCTCCATCATTGAAGAATTTGGTGCGCAGGTAGCTACGTGTCATTGTTGGAAATGGGATTCAAGTGAGTTCAGCATGTCTCAAGGAAGTGACGTTTACCAGTTTTTCTTTTTAAATATTATTATACCGTATAGTGGCCGACTAGGCCGAATACCCGAGCCCGCGAACGAGTAGGCCGAATACCCGAGCCCGCGAGTGATTAGGCCGAGGATCCGACCCCTTAATAATTACGCCGATCACCCTAGCCCACCGACCACTTATAAGCGAGTGAAACGTGTCGGGTTGGTCGGTCAATTTCTGTGCCTTTGCCAGACCGATTGTAGAGTTTAATTAGCGTAATACATTGGATTAGCCCCCTAATTTTCCGGGGCCCAATCCTTAATCACGGCCCAACACCAGCGTCTATAAATAGAGCCCCAACGAGGTATGTAATTAACTTTCAACTACCGCATTTATTACGCCGAGCACTTACTTGAGCGTTGGAGT